AATTTGTATATATATAAATATTAATTTTATTTATATGTTTTAATAGTTTATTTGATTTTTTTATTTTTATGAGATTATTATTGTTAAATTTCCAATTAAAATTATAAATAATGAAATAAATAATAAGTATATAATATATAAGTATATAAATAAAACATATATATGACATGAATTATGAAATTAAATTTTTATTATAATATACTATATCTATTTATTATACTATACTATTCTATATCTGTATTCTATATATGTATTCTATATATATATATATATAATAGATAGTAACCATAGAAACTCAGTCAAAACATTACAATTTTAAATAATTATTTCATGTATGTTTATGATTATTATAATCCTTTAAACACGATTATATAATTAGATTTATTTATTTTATGAATATGGAAGGCAATATTTCTCCAAATCTTCAAAAGTGGATAAAAAAATGTTTAAAAAGAGAATTTGAAAATAATATACAAAGATCATTAAAAGAAGATACAGATAATGTTAATATAGCTCAAAATATTATACGTTCAAAGGAAATGTCCATTTTAGTAAATTCTATGAAAGCTACAATTCTTGAACAATCTGCTTCGAGATCTGAATCAACTATAATTTCTGATTCTCGACCTCAATCGTCCTTTTCTTGCATCAGTGATCAAACAAGTGAAGATTGGAATTCTCCATTAAATAATGATGAATATTATAATGTTATTCTTGATAAAATTAATCAAGATAAACCTATTCATGTTAGATTAGCTGGTTATGAAATTTTATTAAAAAGTGAACTTTCAAATTTAAATAATAATCCTATATGGGATTCGCTTCAAAAAGCTTTATTAAAAGGTCTTGTAGACGAAAGTAAACCTATTTTTGAAGCTAGTTTACAAGTACATGCAAAATTGATCACTTGTTTACAATCATACGATGTATATATCAATTTGTTAAATGCCTTTGATTTTCAATATGATTCACAAAAGACATTTGAGATTTTACCTACACTAATTTCTGGAATTAATTTTAAATTTTTTTTACATGAAAGAGTATTTCGTATCATACATTTAATAATTCATTATCACGAAGAAAAACTGAAAAATATAAGAAATCCTGATAAAACTATAGAAGAATTAATAGAACAATTTATTACATTTTTGAGTACACATGTATCTGGAAATATAATGCAGCAAAAAACACTAAATATACTGAATATTATTTCTGTATTAGAACCATGTGCTGATTGGAGTAAAAAATGGATTGTAAATCTTGCTACTAGAAAAATATTTTTAACTGCTTTAGGAAAATCACCAAATTTATTACAACAAGTAATGCATTATGTACAAAAAGGATTGGGAGAGCCTCCTCATTCTATAGCAATTTCTATTTATGATGATCCAATGGAAGTTATTATTAATGGAAATACAATAGAAACAGTAACTTATCTTCACTGTTTATGTTTTGTGTCTCAACTTTGTGCTTATGAAGCAGGTCGTGAACTTTTAATAGAAAATATTTTAATCATTCCATTTTCAGTTTCTAAATTTTTAAGTGCTTCTTTGAGAGCTCTAAATAAATTATCTGTAGAAACAGTAAGTGGTGTATATAATGTTTCTTGTTTTGCTTTACAATTTATTTTAGATAAACCAACAATATTGTATGATTATGAATTTTATCATATTGCATTGTGCCATTTATCATCTTTTTCTGAAAATAATATTAAAATATGGCCACATACATTAAAAATTATTCTTCATATGTTAGACACAATAGATGGTTCTTTATTTCTTATCTCAGAATGTAAGGAACATACAGTAAATTTTGAAAAAAGTATATCAAAATGTCCAGCTATGTTTATTATAATAATAGTCTCAAATATGTTAAGACAACCTTTATCTTTAATAAATATGGAATATCTTTTTGAATTATTTGATGTAATACAAAAGTTATTTGATATATTTGATGCATATGAAACAATACAATATAAAATAGAAAAAGAATTTTATCCTGCTGTATCATATTTTTATAAGAAATTAGATAAATCTTATTTTGAAAATGAAAATAAAGCTCAACAGATAAATAGGTAATTTACTGATATACAATTTGTTTTTATGAATAAAATAGAATATAAAAAATATAATTTGCAGTGCAGTTAACACATTATTGATTAAAATGGTATCTATTCCATTTGGATTGAAAGCTCTTGTTCAAGAATCATCAGTATTTCAAGAATTAATTGAAGGATCTATTGCACCTTTAAGAATGTCTTGGACATCAATTGAAGTAGTTAATTTTGTATCATCTGCTGCTTTTTTTCACTTGGGATATGATGTAATTGCTAATTTGGCACCCCATGTTTTGTCTAACTTACTTTCAGAGACATGTAAAGTATTACAGGATCCACATTATTTTCATGACCCATGGGATCATGAAAATATTCAAAAATTTTTACATATATTAAGTATTTTTTCTCTTAATTTTAAATGTACGAATAAAAATAAAAATTTTTCATTACATTATTTTGACTGAAAATATAGTTTACTGATATTAAATAATTATTTGTTTATTTTACAGGTTTTTGCGCATTTATGTCAAATGTAAAAGAATCATACAATAATGAAGAACATAATTATCCACTTAATTTATTACAATTATTTAATAATTTAATAAATCCTGAATCAAATTATCATTACTTAGGACTTTTATCATTAAATATTGTAATTTGGAATTTAAATATTTGTTTATATTTATTAGAATTATTAAATTTTCAGGTAATATATTATTTTAATTAATTAATTTAAAATATTTTAATTTTCATTTCTTTGAAATTAATATAATTTATAGTAATATTTATAACATTTTTTTTTAGAATATTTTGTTAGAATTTCAAAATTTTGATACAAAAGAAATTATAAATGAAGAAATAGATACTAAATATATTGATAATTATACATTAATACGACATAAAATTATATCTAAAACATATTTTATTAAAAGTAAAGACGAAGAAGAAACTTTTAAATTAGAAGAATATGATTTACCAAAACTACCTCCTCTGAAATTAAATAAAGAAAATTCATCCACAGAAATTGAGTATGATACTGAATTAGAAATTTTACTTCGAGAAAATAAATCAGTATTATTAGATATTAATTGGGTTGAACAAATTAGAGAAGCATATATAATATCATTAGATCCAATAAAAGTATATATAAATTTTTATACTTAATAAATAGATTAATATTTTTTTAAATTGTTTAAAATTTATATCTTATTATATTTTATAATCTCACAAAATAAATTTTTTTTATTAGAATACAGTATTAATTCAACTTGTGGATCAGATGCAAAAAGCAATTCCTACTGCAGAATGGGGAGAAAACTTTCAATGGAAAGAAAATATATCATCAAATACAGATTTTTGGTTTGCAGAAGAAATACATGGGATTAATTTAGTTTTGTATTACGCAGAACAAAATGATATTTTAGAAAACACAATTGAAATGAAAGAAAAATTACAAAAATTTATAAATGAATGTCATGCATTTATACATTACGAAAGACCAACAAAATTTGATGGTTTTGATTGGTTTTTATCTACAGTATTTATCATTTGTAAAGGAGATATGAACAGGTATATATTAAATTGCTATAAAAAATTTAAATTTTTAATAATAAACTTTATTTTAGATTTTTATAATTATTAAATAATTTTTTTTTATTTCTTATTGCTTCAGTTGACCGCGAATATACCCTTTAGTAGCAAATTCAAATTTTGTCAAAAATATTTTTTATATTTTTAAACCATTTAAACATTTTTGAACAAAATATTGAAATTATTAATATTTTTTCAAGAAAAAAAATATAGGGCAACTCTAGCTAGTCAATGTATCATCATTAGCAGGTCTCAGGTTGAAAACTTGGTCATCATTGCAATAAAAATGCGCATAAGATAGTTATTTATCATCATCGACCTTTTAAATTTTAATATGATAATACATACTATAATTAATTTCAGATGTAAAATGTTTATTACACAATTAATTCATTTCCCGGTAATCCCCTTTTTGTGGACTAATTTTGGTAAAGTTATAGATAAGTATACTAAACAAGAATGTGCCACTCAATATATATTTATGCAATTTTTAGAAAGTATTATTAGCAATGAACTTTCACATATTAAATTTGCACTCAAGGTATATATTGAAAAATAAATTTCAAAATTATTTAATACTAAAAATCTTTTATTAATTAATTTATATTGCAATATAGAATAGTTCTGGAGTGGATTGGTCCTTAATATGTAATTTAATGATATCTCAATGCTTTTGGGGTTTACTTCCATGGTCTCAAATTATGCATTTTTTTACAATTTGTGTTTTATTTTCTCCTGATTACATAATATACTATTGTACGTCACTTCTATATCATTGTCAATTTCGAATAATGGAAAATATAACAAGTGGAAAATTATGGCCAGAAAATATGGTACTATATATATTTAATATATTATATAATATATATGAAATACATATAATTTATATTATATTATTTAGGTTTTGGATGATTATCAATGTCATAATTATATTAGATTTATGGATTCATTAGATAAAAGATATAGTAATAAAATTTTACCTAATTTTTTAATTAAAGGATTCAATTAAAAAAATGAAATATAAAAAATAATTATATAAATAATAAAAATTTTCATTTTTTAATGAATATTTATTAATAAAAAGGAAATATAATTGATATGTAAAAAATGTTTGCACGTAAAAATCGAAACTGAACATTACTATATAAAGTAATTTTTTAAAATATTAATTTAAATAAATTATGAGCATCTATAAATATTGTATACATGCATATATATATATATAATTATTGTAAAAATGATATTAAACTCTAATTAAATAACTAAGAAAATATTTATCATCATTTATTTTCTAATAAAATTCACATCTAATAATAGTTTAATAAACATATTTCATTGTCTATAAAGAGAGAATATTTTTATTTATAGATTTTACTTGAAAATATCTTATATGTAATATTTATACAAGTCGTACCTCTTAAACTCAAGAATAAGATATCAATAATAGACTTTTTTTTTATTTGTAAAATATTTCAGAACTGATAGATAAATAACATTATGTACAGTAATACAATGACACAATATAGTCATGTAGTTTTTATGTTATTAGTTTAGTCATCATGAATAGTAAACAGTTTTGCTACTTCATTTAAATCATCATATTTTGTGCCTCTAGCGAGCACCTGTAATAGTCATAAGAGAAATTAATTTTTTAAAATAACACATAAAATAGCACTTTCTACAAAAAGTGTTTTATATTATGTGAATTTTAATAAACGCACCTGCCTAGCGATAGACATCCGATTAAAAATATTCCAAAGAACTATGCCAACCACAATATCATCACGTAGATAAAAAATAACTCCTTTCGCAAAATCATCATATTTTTTAGGTTTTGAATTATCATCATCAAGAGATATAGATTTATCATTTTCTTCTAAATTTGATTCTATTGGATTTTGTGTTTCGGTTGAATTTAATTTCTATATTTTAAAAATATAAAATATAAAAATTATTATATATAAATATTATATTATATTTATATTATGTATAAATATATAAACCATAAAAGAATAAATTATATTTATAACTTTTAATAAATCATTCATTACCTTTTTATTTGAACATATAGATTCATATGTATCATTAGCAGATGCTTTTGTAGTATCTGAGTCTGTTTTTACAAAAACTCCTACAGTTGGCAGTGATGAATCCACAATACCAATTGCTTCATATCCAACCTCTGGCCCTAAGTCGGACCAAAACATTGACTGATGTAAATATGGTTTTCCTAATGAATATAAAAATATGAATTTTGTTTTTTTTTTTTATATTTATTATTAACATACAATATATCATTTTTAAAATATCAAAATTTTAACTTACTTGCACCAGTCATATTTTCTCCAGCTAATCTTCCTGAAACTACAGCATGATCATGATGTGCTACTCTTCTTCTACCAAGTCTAATATCATAAAAACAAGCTGCATCTCCAGCAACCCAAAGATTACTCCTTGCTTCTAACTCCGCGTTAACAAGAAAACCACCTATTTCAGGATCTGTTTCTAAATGCGAAGCTTTTGCCAAATCAATATTTGGTTCAACACCTACTGCTACTACCACTTGATCAGCATCAATCTTTCCATGTAAAAAAAAGAAAAAATGTATTTATTGTACTATTTTCAATATTTTTATAGAAATGCAAATAAAACATACAATGTGATTATCCGAAAGAATGAGAGACAATTTTCCATTTTTATAAGAATAATCTTCTACTTCAGAATTAGCAATACATTTAACACCTTCTAATATTGCCTTTTTTGTTGCCCATTCACTGAGATATTGAGGTAATACTTGATCCATTATAAATGCTTCTTTAAATACTTGATATACATTTTTATTTTCCGGTACTAAATAAAAATATAATTATTATTAGTTTGGTTAATAATTGTTATTAATTTGATAATACTAATAATTATAATTAATATTATGATTTTATATTGATAACTAATTAAACAATAATAATGATAATAAACAATAAAATCTTACAGATTTGGGCCAATGAACAAGCAAGTTCTGATCCAAGAAATCCTCCACCAATTATTACAATATTTTTATATTTTGGATCATACACAGCTTCTTCTAAATCAAGAAAATCTTCTTTTCTTCTGAAGGTAATAATTTTATCTTTAAGATCATCTTGCAATGATTCAAAAACTGGAAGATTTTTAGGTGATACACCTACAAATATATTTTAATTAAAATATATTCTAAATAATTAATATTAATTAAAATATAAATCTGGAAATTGTATATAAATTAATTATACTTACCAGTTGCAATAAGACACTTGTCATATTTTATTTCATAACCATCATCAAGCATCACAGTTTTATTTGGAACATCAATTTTTGTAACTTTCCAACCTTTAGCAACAGCCACACCACCTTTATCAGACTGACTCAATTTACTGACATCTGAATAAAATTCTGGTGGTTCATAAAATATACTATAAATATAATATAATCAATCACTAACATAAAAAACTAATATAAATTTCTGATCATATGAATAATTATTTAATTATTACCTTCTTTGAGCACCATTCCATTGCTTGAAAAGTAATTGTGCAGATATTTTTCTATCTTTATTACGCCAAAGTTCTTTAGATAATGGTGGTCTCATATATGGTAAATCTTCTTCTGATATTACTAAAACCTGAAGAAAATATTTACTTATATTATTATATGTTATTTTTTAATTTTAGTAAATAAAGAAAAAATTACTACAAAATACCTTAGCTCTAGGATCTTTAGATTTAATAGATCTAAATGCAGAAAATGCAGCTGTTCCTCCTCCTATTAAAAGATAAGGTATTTCCGAAGGGAATGATTTAGAAGTAGGGGGTGATTTAATTTTTTCAAGTGATTTCCTACTTCTTTCTTTTCTTCCTAAATATGTGAGATAAAAACAAATTAATCTTCTAGATATTTAAAATTTAAAAAACATCTTATAGGAACAAGTTTTTATTCAACTTACTCTTACTTACATCCTTTTGAGAATCAGATTTTTTTGTAGTAAACCAATTTGTAGAAGATATCTATAAAATGTTTAAAAATTAAAAATATTAAAAAATATTAAATAAAGAAAAAATTCATTACACTATATTATTATAATTTATTATATATAATAATTTTAATTTATATTATTTTGAATATAATTAGCAATGAAGATGAAATAATGTGATATAAAATTATCAATACCGCATATATTGCAACTCCTGCTATGATTAAAGTTGCCAATATCTTCCAATATGGTGGTGATGGTTTTTTGTCATTTGGTTTTTGAGAATCATCTGATTTTCCGCAAACTTCATAACAAGATGGTGGACAAGATGCATTAGGATGAGATTCACATAAAGGAACACTTCTCTTTTCTTTGGAATATCTACTTTCAGGCACACATTCTTCAGGTTTTATAGTAGTTCCTGAAGGTTTATATGTTTTGTCATTTGTATAATTACTATAGAATAAATTATGAACACTGACAATTCCTAAAATCAAGAAAACAAGATTTTTTATAAATAATTTCATCATATTCATTAACATAATATTCATTAACAAGGACAGAACGCAAATTTTTGTTATTAGCTTTTATTGATATATTCTGTTAAATGTACGGATATGTTTTTTAATATTGTTAAAATATATTTAATTGTTTGAATTACAAAAACATGTTTCATAAAATAATTTTTATTATTTAATTTAATAATAAGCGATAAGAAAAATATTAATTTTAGTTTGGCAAGATTTTCATCAATAATATCTTATACAAAAATTATATTGATAAAGTTTAATCACTATTCAAATTTGAGGTTATATCGCGTGGTGTCCTTGTAATCAAACATATCCGTACATTTAACAGAAAATATCAATTAAAAACTATTATATTTGAAGATATATATACAATTATCAAATCTTATTATTATTAATAATAATTAAAACAAGAAACAAAGAATTAATTTAATGTTTAATTCAAAAATAATAAAAAATTAAGCAAAAAAAAAAATTTATATAAATTGAAAAAAATTATATTTTTAAAAATACAGTGTATTAAAACTTACCAATATATTTTAAAGGTCGACAAAAGTGATTAGCATGTGAATGCCTTGTAAGTTTTGGCAATCGTCTTATAACTCTACCGTAACTTAACATTTTTGAAGGGCCAATTATGGCCTTACGCAATATGGAGGTAACGCGTGTGGCCGGTTCTGTTATCCATACGCACGACTGGAAGTCGCTCTACAGTTTTCCCTTTATACTTGAATGACACGGGACACTCCATTACCAAATTTCTTGAACAACCGAATTATCGTATTTACCATACATTGATTTTGAACACTTTCTCTGAAATTTTTCTTGCAATGTGAAAAAAATTTGTAAATATCTTAAAATTTGCATTACAAATTCAATTTATAACGAATGACAGCTGCGCATACGACGTAGTGATAATGATGCAACTTCATTCTAGTTAAAATAATGCACATTATACTGAATACATATATATACATATATATTGCATGTACATATACACACATATTGAATTCAATAAAAAATAAAAAATAACACAAAGTTTATAATATAGTAATAAAAATAGAAATATTAACTATTATTATTATTATATTATTTTAATTTATTATTTAATTAATAATACTATGATATAGATTAAATAAAATAACTTATATTTTGCAATCTATATTAAAGAACAATTGTAAATAACAGATTAACAAGATATCATATATTTATGATAGAAGTAATTTATTTATTATATTTATCATATAAATTTTTTAAAAATAATAAAAATAATCATTAAATTTTTATTATTTTTATGTAATAAACAAGATTTAAATAAATTCATGTATCAATATAACTTTTGTGAAATTCAAGGTGGACAACAATGAGTCATATTATTTCCAAAAAAGACTCATGTATACCTTGAAATTTTTAAGACGTGATTATTGTTGTAATATCATTGGACATTGTGCTCATTATGGCACATTAATTTACAATAAATTTTAATAT